GAAAGAGGGCTTAGAAAATTTGACACTCACAGGGCATATTGAAGGCAAGAGGGACGGAGGAAAGCAACGCATAACCAACCCAACGAGTTTGTGTAAATGGTTGGCAGGACAGGGATTACTAAAGAGTTAAACTAATTTGAAATAGTGGAGAGCCATGAATTAATAATTTACCCTGAAAGACACAGCACATAGATGAAGAAAAAAAAAGAAAAAAAGAAGGAAAAAGAAAAAAAAAACGACGACGACGAAGAAGAAAAAAAAAAAGAAGACGAATAAAAAAAAAAGACGAAAAAAAAAACGACGACGACGAAGAAGAAGAAAAATTCAGGAAAAAGAAAGAAAAAGATTAAAAAAAAAGAAGACGACAGCGACGAAGAAAAAAACAATTAAAAAAAAGACGACGACAAAAAAGAAAAAGAGTTCAATACAAAAAGAAAAAAAAAATGACGAACGAAAAAAGAAAAAAAAAGAAAAAGACGACGACGACGAAGAAGAAAAAGAAGAAAAAAGACGACGACGACGAAGAAGGAAAAGAAGAAAAAAGACGACAAAGAAGAAAAAGAAGAAGAAAAAAGACGACGACAACGAAGAAGAAGGAAAAGAAGAAAAAAGAAGACGAAGAAGAAAAAGAAGAAGAAGATGAAGAAGAAGGAGAAGAAGTAAAAGAAAAAGAAGATTACGACGAAGATCTGTATCTCCACCTTTGTTTATCAACACATTTGGAATCTTGAATGCTTATCCAATACAGATTATAATTAATCAGTCTAACCTTTAGCCAATTTATTTTAGACCGACCCAATAATCGTCCTGGGTATGACGATAAACTACATCCGCTTGCTGAGTAAGATGATAAACTCCATCCAACAGCAATGCCACTGATAAGGAGGGTTTGAGGAACATGGAAACACCTCTTAACCACTGGTTTTCCTTTTTTTGACTTGAAAAAATAGCACGTTAGGGTCCCAGCTTTGTAAAAATTTCCCTCAAGCCAAAATTGTGTAAAAATAGTTTTTAATACCAGCAATACATCTTTGTAAAAAAATTATTACCAGCAATAAATTTTCGAAGAAAAAATCATTACCACCAATACTTTTTGGAAAAATATTACCAGCAATACATTTTTGGGAAAACATAAATATTTTTTTAATAGCTGTCCTTTAAATTTAGCATATTTTTAATTTTAGCAATGCATTTTTGGAAAAAGAAATATTAGCAGCAATAAATTTTGGGGAAAAATATTAGCAGCAATAAAAATCTTGTCGGCATTACATAATCCATTGAGGTTGATATGCCGTAAAACAAAACAAACTAAACTAAACCTTACCGACCCAATTATCGGCACAATCACTCAAACTAGGACATTAACGTTATGGGTCTGAAGTAACTCATGTAACCAAAGCCATGACGGACCCATCAACCTGACAACCACATAGGTATTTACCGGGAGTAACATTTCCTTAAGCAACTAGAGGATGCATAGATAACGTCTCCTAAAATCCATGAAGTAAATATCTCAGTTTGGCAAATTTTATTGATTAGGTCGGTTCAATATAAATTGGTTAAATGCTTGGCTGAATAATTACAAACTGTGTTGGATATCTATTCGAAATACTTGACATTAGCAAAAAGTTTTTTCTTTAAAATGAATCTAGATTTATTCCAGACAACTTTCAAGATGAATATTTTCAGGTCGGAATCCTTTAAAATGAATCCTAGATTTATTCCAGACAACTTTCAAGATGATTTTTTTCAGTCGGAATCCCTTTAAAATGAATCTTAGATTTATTCCAGACAAATTTCAAGATGATTTTTTTTCAGTCGGAATCCCTTTAAAATGAATCCTAGATTTATTCCAGACAACTTTCAAGATGAATATTTTCAGTCGGAATCCCTTTAAAATGAATCCTAGATTTATTCCAGACAACTTTCAAGATGATTTTTTTCAGTCGGAATCCCTTTAAAATGAATCCTAGATTTATTCCAGACAACTTTCAAGATGATTTTTTTCAGTCGGAATCCCTTTAAAATGAATCCTAGATTTATTCCAGACAACTTTCAAGATGAATATTTTCAGTCGGAATCCCTTTAAAATGAATCCTAGATTTATTCCAGACAACTTTCAAGATGATTTTTTTCAGTCGGAATCCCTTTAAAATGAATCCTAGATTTATTCCAGACAATTTTCAAGATGAATTTATAGGAATTCTGTATGTGAAAGTCCCTTCCGGCTCCATACTTTCCAGCCAAAAGAAATAATAAAGTATTGTTTGTTTATTTTAAGTTGTTTAAACTTATTTCAATCTAATTAGAATCAGGCCATAGCTTATTATCAAAGAATAAATATCTTTATGCAAAAATATTTGGTAGATTTTATTTTAGAGACATTTTTTTTCATTTTTTTAAGGAGACAAAAGTTTAAAAGTCAACTCCTCAAAATTTTTAGTCTTTATAGAAAAAATAAAACAAAAAAAAAACATGTCCACATAGCAAAATAATGTACATATATAAATTTTGAAAGATGAAACATATGTAGTCTTTTATTTTTTTTTATTTTAAATATGACTGAATTTAAACGCAGTACTAAATTCGTGGCAAGATCTCATCATTTTACAGTTGAAATGGCTGCTAGATGTAACCGTAAGTCCTATGCTAATAGTTTCTTTTCTCATACTTCTCTCTTGCGGCTTCTTGCTTTCCAATCAACTTTGATCTTCAAAAGTTTAAATGCAATGTCAGTTGTCATCTTCTGTCTTCTTAATTCTTGTTCTTTTATTGTTTTCTCTACTTAAAAGTGTTTTTCTCTCATATTCGCTAACACTTAGTAACCCCTAGCATGGGGGGTGAAATGATAAAAGAGAAGAGAAAAGAACATACCAAGATATGAGCCACATATTTATACAAGTAGACACATCAACACCCAAATGGGTCACTAAGTAATAAGCATTTTTACCAATACATTAAACAACTTTTATCGCACTTCTCGCTTGTGGAACACTCTTCCAGCTTCTAGCTTTCCAGTCAAGTTTGATCTGCGAAAAATTTAAGAGCAATTTAATTTAATTTTTGTTCTTTTATTGTTCTCTCTTCTTAATGGTGTTTATTTTTTTCCTAAATTTCTTTCACACTCACTAACCCTTTGCGTCTTATTGGCTTATATTACTATGCTTGGGGCGAAATGTTTATATATATATATATATCAGTAACGAAAATCTTGGTAATCCGTATGCATAATCCCAAAGAGGATAAAATCCTGAGAGCTCAATGTTAAGTAAGAGCGAATAATTTAATTTAAAGAAAAACAGACCACTTTAAGACTCCATTACTTATAATTTATTTCACCAGAGAATTTCATTTTTCTCTGGATCTTCAGACTTCACTGAATTTAAAATTTTCACTTTTAACGGGGAGTATTAAGCTTATATAAGTTGACATAGAAGGTGGTGAGAAATGATGAGAGAGACATGGTTGAGTTTAGAGAGAGAGAGAGAGATTGAAGAGTTGTTTTTATTTTATATATATATATATATATATATATATATATATATATATATATATATTATTCAATGAAGCATGCTTGAATGAAGATACCATGCATAATACACACGCAAGTGCACATACATGCACACACACACACACACACACGTAAAGACACACACAAACACACACACACAGATACATATATATCATCTTCATCATATCAATTTCTGATGAGCTTGAAATAAAAGTAAAGCAGGTTAGATTGAAAAACGTTTCCTAGTATGTTCAAATCTATGTATCTGTCTGTCTGTTCATCTATCTATCTATCTATCTATCTATCTATCTATCTATCTATCTAGTGCAAGAGTAAATGCTTATCTGTGGTATTTATTTGCACCGACTGAGTGTATCAATAGTTCCGAAAATATGTATTGTTCTGCACAAGCCCTCACCATTTTAATTAAATCACTTGTGTGGGTTATAATGGTTTACCTTGATTCGTTCTTTTTTTATATATATATATATATATATATATATATATATATATATATATATATATATAAAGAACAAATAGGAAATGTTTTCCAATCTAATATTTTTAATTTCATTAAAGTCTCATCAGAGAATCTAATAATAAAAGTGAAACATGTTGCATCGATAAACGTTTCGTATTTGTTGTTTATCTTACCATCCTATATATCTGTGTGTGTAACTATAGTTTCATATATATATATATATATATATATATATATATGTGTGTGTGTGTGTGTGTGTGTGTGTGTGTGTGTGTGTGTGTGTGTGTTAAAAAAAATATATAGAAAATAGGAAAGAACTGGTTAGGTAAATAATACAAAGTTCTTTAGTATTTTTGTTATTATTTTTAAAAAAATAGTGCTCGGTACAAAAGTAGAGCATAAATATAATTATTTATTTAAAAATATGATTCCAACTTGCGAGTTGGAATCATATTTTAAGTAAATAATTATATATATATATATATATATATATATATATGTATGTGTGTGTGTGTGTGTGTGTGTGTGAAACAGTGATTCTGCAACTCTGCTTTTCTATCTGTATGTTACACCGTGCGAGTTTGTTGATTTAAGTGTTTCCAGGCATACCAAAGGTGAATAATTCAACACATTCGGTCAATTGACCGGGCAACAATATTCTTGATGAGATCATAATCCTCACACAGAAAAGCTCTGATTCAACAAGGGCGCCCGTTTTTACAATAAACATTGCTCACTAGTAAATTGGTCTTCAGAAAAACGATCCTATTGGAATTCGACAACCCCTTTTTTTTTGTTTGCATCATTTTCTTCCGACCCCGGCATTGTCTCATCCATTGCCGGTTTTCTTTTTCTTGCATTGTTCTCCCAATAAAAGCCCAAGAGCCGCTCAAGGTAGAGTGTTGTTGAATGAACGTAACCACTGTAGATGAAGAGATTATGTAGGATAGATAACGGTTGAACTTAGACGTAAAGAGATTAAAATTATAGTAATCAGTAAAGCAGTGCGCATATCACATTGAAACACCGGTTCTCGTACGATTACCGAAGTTAAGCAACGACGAGCCTGATCAGTTCCTAGATGGGTAACCATTTGAAAATACGAGTTGCTGTAATCTTAGATGTGCGGGTGGTGTTAATAGGTAACGGCTCGAAATTAGAAAACGGAGGGAAAAATGTTAGATTCCGGTCGGGTTTCTTGTAGTTACTTAAGTGCAAATACCGACGAGAAAAGCATGAATCCACCTCTTCTCCCCTAGTTATGGGTTAATGAGTAGAAATTGTATTAGTAAATCATTATAATCTCCGAAAATCTAAAAATATCTTCTGGTTTTAAATAACCTGCAAAGGGTTGATAATCCGTCAAAAATAGATCAATCCATAATGTAGCGACTTTTGGGAAAAAGCTGTTTGAATAGAACTTCCTTTTTAACAATGAAGTACGAAGGGAAGATGGCTGATTCGCTAGTGTGTACATAATATAGCGGGTCTTAACAGTAAAGGTCTGAACTGGTGGAAATGAAGAAGATATCTCGCCAGAACATTTTCCACGGAAATAGTGATAGAATAACGACGGGCTTGCGACTCTCATTGTGTGGGGAAGTGGTTGTAGGATTGAAAATAGTTCCTTGCCTAGAAGACCGCGTAAACGTTTTTGACTTGTCGATATTGGAAACTAAGTAGGGAGCAACTCCATTCCAGATATTCATTCTTCAGTACTATCTTCAGACAAGGTACACTTGGTCTGAAGATCGCAATGAATTATGATGAAACAACTGTAGTACCAACATGTAGTACAACTCAACACCACGCAGTGTTAATTTTGTCTATATAACTGAGATGAGGTATAGTAACTATGACTACTGATCACTATTGCCACATATATATATATATATATATATATATATATATATATATATATAATGAACTCTCCGGTCGGTTTCGACGTATAAGGATCTGACAGCTTAATTGATTCTGTTATGAAATTTAGTGCGATAATCTTAAGTGGCACTTAAGACCCACTAGTGATTTACAAAGGAGGCCACATATGGAGCGAGAGTAAATGCTTATCTGTGGTATTTATTTGCACCGACTGAGTGCATCAATACTTCTTGAAAATGTGTGGGGTTTCTGGCGGTTTACCTTGGTTCGTTCATTCTTATATATATATATATATATATATATATATATATATATATATATATATGAGAGAAAAGAACAGATGGAGTAAAATTTTACTGTTCGTAGCCTTTCCTTTAAAAAAATGTGCTCAATTCAAAGTAACTTTCATGTTTCGATACTTTGTACTTCTTCAGGCGAAGTACAATCATAGTATTGAAACATGAAAGATTTGTGTAGCGATTTCAATATGTTTTTATTATAATCTTTTATAATCAATATAATAATATATATAGTTTATATATATATATATATATATATATATATATATATATGAAGAATTATAAGGTGTGCTATATTTATGGGATAAAGTGCTCAATATCAGAGATAGAGCGTGTGTAAATATAAAAGTGAACATCGGAGTCAACACTTAGAGGCAACAGACTGTTTCATGCTAAACACAATCGTAGCCTCTAAGTGTTGTCTTCAATGTTCACTTATATATATATATATATATATATATATATATATATATTGGATTAAACCCGACAATTATTTTTAATATATTTTCTGTTTATAGGTTATTTTTATCGATATAACTTATTAAAGTAAATGCTCTTTTTTTTTCATTAAACAGAATTAATTACATTTATTAATCTGAATGTCCGAGAAATTTCGTAAAAAAAAAAAAAATGGGATCTCTGACAGGAATCGAACCTGTTACCCTTACGAGTAACCGTCATTTGATCTGATCTGCTGTTAGCCATTCAGCCACAAAAAAGCGTCTGGTTATCTGAATTACTGTTTATAAACAGAATCCTTCGATGATTTTTTTCAGTCAATCATGCCTGCTTACGAAACGTAACTTAACGTAAACAATGACAACATATAATGAAAGAGATTAAGTTCGACAATTATTTAATATATTTTCTGTTTATAAGTTATTTTTATAGATACAATTTAGTTAAGTAAATGCTCTGTTTTAATTAAACAATATTAATTACATTTGCTGGCCTGTATATTCGCGAAATTTAGTGCAAGTTATGAGTTCTCCGACATGAATCGAACCTGTATTCCTCTACGGAAATAGTCATTTGAACTGACATACTATACCAATTAGCTACAGAGAAGCGTCTGCTAGCAAAGTCCAAATTTCTGTTCATAAACACACAATCTTCAACGATTTTTCTCGATCGACCATATCTGCTCACAAAACGTATCTTAACGTAAATAATGGCAACATATTATGAAATGTATTAAGTTCGACAGTTATTTTAATATATTTTCTATTGATACGTGATTTTTATAGAAATTTATGAAATTTCCCGAACATTTGAACCGATAAATGTTATTAATACTGTTTTAATTAAAAACAGAGCATTTACTTAAATCGATTATATCTATAAAATAACGTATAAACAGAATATATATATATATATATATATATATATATATATATATATAAATAAAATTAAGTAATTCATCGGGTATACCAAGAATTGAAACCCGAGTCCCGTTGGTATGACTTTTGCCTGATAACCAAACTGCCCGGGATGCGCACTTCTGATGAGTCCCAAATATAGAACGAAAGTGCCGTCAGTGCTTACACACACACACAATATATATATATATATATATATATATATATATATATATATATATATGTATGTATAAATATATTTGTGTGACATATCATGTCGATTAGTTTTCGTTGTGTGTCCCTTTCAAGTTCACGGATTAATTTCTTGGTATCTTTAGATAATTGATTAAGAAAAATACCAAAGTTTTCTTTCAAACTGTTTTTATTTTCTTTCCCAAGTACTTTCAATTTCATCTGAGACCATTTTCAGGGGTTTAAGTTTTCTCTGAATGTTTTCGGAATCTGACAATATAGATGAGGGCAACAGTCCGAGCGACGTAAATTTCGTAAATAAATCATTTTTATTTAGGTATTTAATTTACAGCTTGTTTCATGCATAGGAATTTTTCAAATTGAGCGTTTGTTTATCATGGACGCCCCCAGTTACCCTGAAATCATTAAAATTATTTCAAACTGTCGACACGCTGAAATATAGAACATCAAAGATAAATAAATAAAAAGCTACCAGTTTAAGGGATTGAACCTACAACTGCCAGGGAACAAGATATAAGTAATGAATTGCATGACTACAGGAGGCCATGTGTTTCTTGTTGTTAAACGACTTATAGCATATTCCGTTCGAAGGGGCGTGTAGATGATTACCATCAAAAACATGCAAACATCCGAATGTAAATACCTGAAAGAATTCAGACGCACGAGTGTCTAAAATAATTGCCCAACTACAAAGAATTATTCCAGTCTTAATAAATGGATGGAGGCATAAGAGAAGGTTGTCGGCTTAGGGTTATAGTCGACACTAAGAAACTTTAATTGTTTTTTTTAGGGTTTGTTTGTGTTTTTACTATTTTTAATCCCAAACTAGAATTCTGACAAATGATCAGTTCCTATCAGGAGACAAATAAATAAATAAATAAATAAATAAATAAAAATTAAAAAATAAAAATTAAAAAAAAAAATGAAAATCGGTTAACAAATTTTGAGTTGGCGTTCAAGTATATTATTATTATTTTTTTTTTTTTTTTAAGTATTTATATTCTGGATTTATTTTTTCTGCTTTTTTCCATCTCTTCTTGCTAGTGGACTTATTTTCTAGTCTTATTTTTTAATTGTGTTCATATCTATCTATCTATCTATCTATCTATCTATCTATCTATCTATTTAATTCTGTTCGCATTTATTTAACAATCTATATATCTAATTCTGTCCACATCTATCTATCTATCTATCTATCTATCTATCTATCTATCTATCTATCTATCTAATTCTGTCCACATCTATTTAACAATCTATATATCTAATTCTGTCCATATCTATCTATCTATCTATCTATCTATCTATCTATCTATCTATCTATCTATCTATCTAATTCTTTCTACATCTATTTAACAATCTATATATCTAATTCTGTCCATATCTATCTGATATGTCCCGGAAAGGGATATATTTGATCGAAGCAGCTAAGTGGGTTTTGGCTACTGCAACCAATAGTACACGGTAGCAGTAATCGACTGGTACTCGCCGTAGTCGCAGGTAATAGGTGCAGACCAATAGGATAGCCAATGACGTAGTCTAATGGGCGTCGTCATAGACTTAAACTCTGTCGTACCTACAGGTCCGTCTGTATTTATGACGGACACCAGCCAATCATTTTCTAGTGAGGGGTGAACACAGGTGTATGCATATTCCATTGTATCACTATCTATCTATCTATCTATCTATCTATCTATCTATCTATCTATCTATCTATCTATCTATCTATCTAATTCAGTCTACATTTATCTATCTACTTATTTAATTATGGCCACACCTTTCTTTCTTTCTAATTACAAGGGTGGGTTAAAAACTTAATAGGCTGACTATGAAGGAGTGATGTTAGATCTGTGAAATCTTGGATGCATTCATTTCAGCTCTTCTTATTAATAACTGCATTATTTCTTTCCAGGTAAATTAACATCTGACTGCTCAAAGAAGACTTCAATCTAATTCGTAGCTACTGCTCTTGACAATGTACAAAATTTGGCATCGTGGTGTTACCTACAGAAAAAAAAAACTGTTAGCCTCCAAGAATATGCATGCTGGCATGATTATTTCATTAGACGATGGCGCTCCAAATTTATCAACATTTCCATAATGGACAGCTGGATTTAGGTGCAGAAGGAAGCGTCTTTAATATTACGCAAGGTCTTGACGTCCTGCAACTGCCACCACTGAGGACCCTGGTGATGGATGACAGTCGATTCACTATAAATCAAGTATTCAGTGCTCTTGGCATATTCGATAAGAGAATTGACAATATTCTGCACAATGAATTTGTCACGACGAAGGTTTTTGCTCGCTGGGTGCCACGTCTGCTGACACCTGATCAAAAGCACACCTAGCTGACTAGATCACGGGAAGA